CGAGACGGAGCTGGAACTCATCTGCTCAAGCCAAGGAATGTCCCAAAGGTTATTAGGGCATTTTTCTGGTGGTGGTAATAACCTTCCCCCCTCCCAGCCCTGGCCACCAACAACAAATCTGTCACTTCATCCGTCTGCGCCGCCGCTCCTGCCCCTCCGCAGGGGTCGCAGATTCCACAAGTTATCAGCTAATGGCCTTATACATTAAAAATTGAAGCTTTCCTCACTCCCAGGCCTTGCAAGGCTTTGTTCTTAAGCCCCAGACACTTTGGAGTGCAGCTGCAAACTATAGGCAGAAGATTAAATTAATTTGTAACTCTTTTTTTTTTTTCTCTCTCTTTTTTTTTTTTTTTTTTTTTTTGTCGGGGCCCTGCATTACTAAATCCTGCACATTTAATTGAAACCCTACTTCAAGATGCTTTGTGTTTCTGTTCCTCTTTGTTGTCAGTTTAACCTCAGAAGCACTTTAACTCTGCTAAATTGCTGTTATATCCTCTTGGATTTTTTTTTTTTTTTTTAAAAACCCTCTGCAATACGAGGACAGCAGAATTGATATTAGGAGCAGAAGAAAAATCTTGGAGTAGTTTTTTGAGGTATTTAATATTTATTAGGGTCCGTACCCTGCAGAGTTTCAGGTGATTTGAAGCCCATCTATCTAGGAATGTATAAATTGGTCTTGGAATGGAATTTCACCTGGGGAATTTGGTGTTATCCAGTAGTTAAGTCTGCTTTTGAAAGTTTGAGCGCGGCGGAGTGGCGGCTGCTTTTTCCAGAAAATGAGGGTTTAACTGCAGTGCACAATCTAAATGCAAAATCCTGGGATGGAAATTTAATTGTGTAAAATGTGCACGAGGTAATTAAGAACAAATTTTAGAACATTTCAGACTATAAAGTCCTCCTTCAGCTCCATCACTGGCGATATTGCCAGCGCTTATTTTCAATTTGCAGTTATGCTGAGAAACATGGAATGTGCCTAAATTAAGAATAAAAGCATCCCCTGCTCTCCAGTGTAACTGTAAATTAAAAAACAACTTGCACAACATCGACAATAATCTAAGTGGGAAACTTTATTGCCTGAGTGTCCTAAAAATATGTTTTGAACTTCCTTCCCTCAGCCACTTTCCAAGCAGGATCCAGACAGAGCTGCTGCTGTAATTTTATTCACAATGTGCAGCAGGCAAGGAAGAAGTGAGCTGGAGGAAGTGATGTGTAAGGGGGGGATGGATTTCTGATTTTCCTTTTCAGTTCTACAATGGCAAATTGCATTATTTCAACAAGTGATTTGAATCTTGGGTTTGTTTATCTGTACCTTAAGAGTATTCAAGAGCAGGTTTTAGTTGCTTTCTAGCCCTGCTTCTGGTGCTCAGTCCAGAGGTTCTTCCTGAATCAACATGTAATCATTTGAAATTTTGATTTTTTTTTTTAAATTAAAAATTTTTGATAGTTTGGTAAAAGTCAGTACACACACGCCCACTGCACCTCTGTTATTCCATAATCTGGGGTTATTTCTCACTTTATCCAGTGCTGGTTTGAAATCTGCTGGTGCATCCCACCCACCCATCCCCTGGCCAGGCCTTGGGGGAGGCTCTTTCTCAGGACACAACCTCCCTGAGCTGCTTTAATTGCTCTCCTGAGCCACCTCTGTGTTTGAAAAAGTAACTGTTCTAAAAACGCACACCTACACCCCAAAAAACTCCTCCATGGAGCTGCTCCGGGGTGAAATGGGGTGAGAAAGTGTTTTCCTGGCATAATTGTTGGTGATTGATCCCCCTCTCATTTCTGTTTCCACGCCATTCTGCCACTGCAGGTCACTGGGCTTTTGAGAATGAAGGTTTTTACAGTTCTTGTGTTGGAAAAGAGCTCAAGATCATCAAATCCAACCATTGGGAAGGGATCCATGGGGAAATGGGAATCAGCTCCCTGAATTTCAGGCATTCCCTTCCCTCCTCAATATCCAGACATAAAACACTGATCAGTTCCCAAACACACCTAATTTAAATTGGAATATTGTATTTTTGTTAAAGTACCCTAAAAGAGTTGCAGGTTCTGGAGTTTCATCCTTTAAATGCAGAGAAGTTTTGGACAGCGTGTTAATTTGGTAGGTTTTGGTTTTTCCATCCTGCACTGGGCTTGTTCCATGTGTTCCTGTGACTTCTTGAGACAAATGATAGTTTGAAAATCCTTGTGGTGAATCTCTCATCTGTTTGTTGTTTGGTTTGTTGTTTTTTTTTTTTTTAATCTTACTTTAACTGTGACACTTTTTATAAATCTATATCTGCACCCAGAGGTCACTGGTTGGCTGAACTTAAACCGTTTTACTTAGTAAATTTAATTAAGAAAATACAGTGCAACTCATAAGCAAATGAGTTTTTCCTAGTTTTAAACCAAACCACCCTCTCGAGTGCTGATTGCCTCGCTCGACCCCTGGTGATACAGAAACAGGCAAAATTAAAAAGGACATTAAAGCTTCATTAAATCTGAAACACATTTAGTACAGTGACATATCTGCAGGCTATTTCGGGGAAGATTACAGACTCTTTGCTAAGTTTCTTAATTTATAATACCTTGACAATGTTGCAGGGAGGAAATCTGAGCAGATGGATGCAGGGGATGCAGAAGTGGCACAGGAGCTGGCCCTGTGTGTTTCAGCTCTCAGCTTCACTGGGAAATGTTTCTTTTTAACACCCACCAAAGAACTTGTTGCTGATGCATTTTGGGGTCCTTCAGTGCTCCTTTATTCACTCTGTGTTTGTGTCTGGTTCTTTTCCCCATTTTTTCTGCTGCCTTGGAGACCCTGCTGAGCCTGGGGTGGTCAGTGGGAATGGAAATGCTTTGTTTGGAGTCACCTTTGAGGCAGGGATTGTTTTTCTTAAATAACATCTGCAGAAAGATGCTCTGTGCACAGAACCATCATTATCTGCTTGTTCTGTCTGGAGTGTTTCACTGTTCCTCAGTGAAAAATCAGAACTTACTCTGCTTCCATTCATGGAAAACTGTTGGACATTGATGGGTTTATTTCTAGAATGTCCCAACAGCACAGCTCTTCAGGATCTCAGATTTCTGCTTGGGGCAGGAGTATGGGGCTCCCAAAAGAGGAGAAGGTGGTAAAGGATGGGTTTTAGTAGCCCCACAACAGAAAATGAAGGGTCTTTGTTGAACTCTGTACCAGCATTTTTCAGGGCCTACCATGACAGTGACCCAAGTGACTTTGCTGAGATGGGAATGATCAGGGAATTCCAAAATGCTTTGGGGTGAAAGGGACCTTCAAGATCATCTGGGCAGGGACACCTCCCACTGTCCCAGGCTGCTCCAAGCCCTGTCCAGCCTGGCCTGGGACATTCCAGGGATCCAGGGGCAGCCCCAGCTGCTCTGGGCACCTGTGCCAGGGCCTGCCCACCCTCACAGCCAGGAATTCCTTCCCAATGTCCCATCTAAATCTCCACTTTCCCACTCTGAAGCCATTCCCTGTGTCCTGTCCCTGCCTCCCTTGTCCCCAGCCCCTCTCCAGCTCTCCTGGAGCCCCTTCAGGCCCTGAGCTCTCCCTGGATCCTTCCCTTCTCCAGGGGAACATTCCCAGCTCTCCCAGCCTGGCTCCGGCCCTGCAGCAGCTCCGGGGCCTCCCCTGGACAAGAGTTTTGAAGTCTCAATATTGTGAAAGCTTCATTTAGCAGTACCTCCCAAGAAATTGTTTCATCTGTCTCACCCAGAGGCTCTGGGCTCCTCTCTGGGTTGGTGATGTCTCCCCCCAACAGGAATTTGCTGTTTTTGCTGAGGCTCCCAGGCCAAAGGCTGAGCTCTCCTGGGGCTGGAGAGTGGAAGAACCTGCCTAGTACAAAGAATTTCTCTTGGAATGTTTGTTAGTTATGGCCAGTAGAATATTTTTAGACAACATCCATAAAAATGTTGATTTTGGGACTACTCTGTAATGCCTGAATTAACTTATAAAGCAGCAGGGGCAGCAAATGGAGTTGATATCCTGGAAAAGTGGATCTGGAGGAAGGATGAGGTTCCTCCTGGGGTGCTGTGGTCTCTCCCCACATCCCACTCAGGTTTGTCACCAACAGGGACACCAAGCTCAGCTCTGTAACCCAGATTTTACCCTGAGCCAGTTAAGGGAGGACTTTGGGAGTAGAGAGCTGCCTGCTCATCACAGATAATTATCAGCAAAGGGTAGCGCCTTGGCCTCCCTGCTGAGGCTGAACTGGTTTCGTTTCCACTCCTGGGGAGCCTGGGCATCCTTGTGAGGGAGACACAAGGGCTGGAGAAACCCAGAAATCCTGGGGAAAATGAGGGGTGAGGGTTGTGAGGGACCCATTCTAAATACAGCTCTTGGTGTCTGCAGAATCCCTTTTTTGCCGTTTTCTCTGTTTCTGCCATTATGAGAACTTTTCTCTCTTGAAGGAAATGTGCCTGAATTTGGGCATCAAAGGCTGGCACTGAGGGAAATCCCCAGAAAAATGAGGGGTGATGCTTGTGAGGGACCCATTCTGAATACAGCTCTTTGTGCCTGCAGAATCCCTTTTTTGCCATTTCCATTTCTGCCATCGTGAGAGTTCAGACTTTTCTCTCCTGAAGGAAATGTGCCTGAATTTGGCACCAAAGGGCAGCACTGAGGGAAATAAAAGGGCTGGAGAAACCCAGAAATCCTGAGGGGTGATGCTTGTGAGGGACCCATTCTGAATACAGCTCTTTGTGCCTGCAGAATCCCTTTTTTGCCATTTCCATTTCTACCATTGTGAGAGTTGAGAATTTTTCTCTCCAGAAGGAAATGTGCCCAAATTTGGGCATCAAAGGCTGGCACTGAGGGAAATCCCCAGAAAAACGAGGGGTGATGGTTGTGAAGGGCCCATTCTAAATACAGCTCTTTGTGCCTGCTGAATCCCTTTTTTGCCATTTCTCCAATTCCTACCATCGTGAGAGTTGAGTACTTTTCTCACTTGAAGGAAATGTGCCCTCCATGCAAATCTCTATAACTAGACAAATATTATTTCCTTTCCCAGCTTGCTCTTGGGAGGTTTCCATATCCTCAGGTAAGATTGTTCATTACTGCTGTTTGCCACTGTGACATTCATTCCTATGTATGAAGGTGCAGAGAGCAATTGTGAACATTTGAGCCACATACAAATAAATCTGTCCTGTTAAATTGAAAAGTGGGAGCTGGAAGGAGTCATTTAGAAGTCTCTATTGATTTTTTTTTTCTTTTGCCCCCCTCTTTTTCTCTTCTCCAAACTCTGTTTCCTTTCCCTGGAGACAATGAAAATTATGATGATGGTAATCTTGTTAATTTTGTTGGGAGATTAAAAAATAATCCAGTCTTTACAACATTTTTTTTTGAAGCAGGAAGGTGTATCTGCTCCTTTCCTTATAATTTAATTTTTGATTCCAGTTTTGAATAATGGTATGATGGTGTAAAATCTCCTCAAAAATCGAATGTGAATGGAATACTTAAGGGAGCTTCAGATTCTTCCTTTGAAGAGGACCTAATATTAGTATTTGATGTAAATACTGCTATTTTCTAAGTTTCCACCTGGAGCTGCTGGGACAACTCTTTCCATCTCTGGTGGCAGTGGTTGGGTGGATGCTGAGCTCTGCATCACCACGGAATATTTCACTTTTTACATTTAAAAACCCCACGAAGCTCTGAACAAAACAAATCCAGAACTGGCTTTGGCGATTACTCGAAATTCTCATCTCGAGATGGATGTTAGAATTCACAGGAACAAACTGTTCAGCAGTTCCTCCAATTATTCTTTCCGGGGAGAGGGGGGAAAAAAGTGAAGTGTCCAGGGACAAAAATGAATTATTTGAATGTGGTTCTTTATGTTTTCATATGTTTTATGAAGACTGTTCTCTGCATCTTGGTCTCTACAGCTCGCAGTGCCTGGAGGCATGTCTGATTTAAAGGTGGTGTTGGTCTGTGCTCTTTAAGCATCTATTAACTTGCTATTATTATGCAAATAACTGTTGTAATACACATACTAATTTATGCATGGTTAGATTATGCAGATGCCTCACAAACATGGTTATTGAATAATAGGCTGGGACTCATTCCCTCTCCCATTTTTAGAAGCTGTTTTAAGCAAATTCTCCTGACACTTTTACAGACTTGGGAAGGTTTTGCCTGGGTGGAAATACTCTGATTTTTCACTTTTTTTTTTTTTTTTGTTTCTTCTGCAAAATGTTCACTGGCACCATTTAGAGAATAGACTTGGAATATTTCATCTGGATTTTAAATGTGTTTTTGGAGGGGAGGAGGATTGGAAAAGAAACTTGTGTTGAAGAGCCCTCCATGCATGGGGAGCTCTCCGAGGGTCTCCATGGTCGTGTTTAGGTGTTTTATGACCTAAAATCCAAAGTGGTGAGGGGACAATTCAAAATAAACCTGATTTGAGTGTCAGAGCACGGGGAAAGGAGGTTGGAACGGGCACATTCCATGTGGTTCCAGGCAAAAATGTCTCCCTGAACTGGGAGCAAACCATGATTGCCAAGTTTAAAGATGCTTTTTGCTGTTCTAATTAAAAAGCAGATCGGGTTTGTGAAAGAATATTTGGCAAGGCAGTAGTCCATGAAATTGTATATATTTTTTAATGCAAAACAGTCGAGGAGGTGAAACTTCTAAAATGTGGCTATTAAGCTTTTCAAGCAACTGCTTTTCAGGAGGGATTTTATGTGAATTTATGTATTTTAGGCATTTGCTGTGCAGGAGAACCCTTGGAAATCTTCTTTGGTTAGGGGGATAATTAATAGGGGGTTTTTAATCTCATTATTTTCCTAGGAAGGGCCTGATTCTGCTCATTCCTTGAGTAATTCCTCCTCACTTCAGTGGGGTTATTCAGGGAATGAAGTTAATCAGTGTGGGGTTCAATTTGTCCCTAAAAACCTCCAAGTTGCTTCCCTGTGAAAATGGAGAGTGTGGCCACGTGGGTGAGAACACCTGAAATTTCCTACAAATGGATGTTTGTCTCCAGCTGCAGCTGCAAAAAATGTCTTTTTTTTTTCTTTTTTCTTTATTTTTAAGACACAGACAAATGGTGTGTGTAAATTCAGTTTAAATGAAGAAGATTTATAGGGGGAAATCACTGCAGTGTGGAAATTCAGGACATCCTGCAATCTGCCAGTAAAGCTAAAGGATGATTATTTCATTTTCTGGCCTTTAGTAGAATATTTTCATGGCAGGACTTCCCACATCTTTATTTTATAAGTGTCTATTTTGCTGATTTATTGGTAATTATTTAATCTTTACAAGTCTTATCTTGAAAGCACTTAGAGCAGCTGTTGTATCAGTAAAGTTCCTTACAGGTGTGTTTAGAGTTAATATATAATTATTAACTCTAATTATATTTTTTGTCTCTATATAGAGAATAAAATCTTCATAATCTCAATATTGTCTCAATATACAGAATATAATCTTCATAATCAGCCTCTCACAGCAAAAGGGAGCAACCTGAGCAGGGAAATAACAAATAGTGATGCTCAGAACTGACTTTTCTGCTCTAAAAACTTTGCACAGGGAACTCTTAAGCCCTAAAATGGAGTAAATATCTGAATTTTTGATGCGTTTCATTGTTTTGGTGTTGGTTTTCCTGTCGTGGTCATGGAATGTGCTTTTGTAAAATATAAAAGTCCCTTTGGAAGTGGGAGGGAGCGATGCTTGTAGGATTTTCCATGGGTACAAAATTAAGTTTTTAAGAGCAAATTCATCCTGGATTTATTTGCACCACTCTGTTAATTTATAAGAATGGTGCTTGTGCTCACAAATACCCTCGAATCAAGTTATTTTCTACATAAACATTAAAAAAAGAAAGGAAACCCCTTTTCCAAGGGTGCTGGTCCATTACCCATCCAGCTTTTTAGGGAGGACACACAAGGAAAAGAAGTTTTAAATTTTCCTTTAAAAGTTTCACCTTAATTTACATTATTTTGAAACTGGAAGGAAAAACAGATACCCCAAAAGGCCACAGCACCTTAAATATTTAATTAAATTTAAGGTTGGACCCCCAAAGATCCGAACCAACCTCACAGAGAATCCCAGAGACTGAAATTCCACTAATAAAACCACAATGGGGGCAGTGACTTGTTTATTAGGAGAAAGGAAAGGAATTGCCCACTAAATATTCTCAGCTTGTAGTCAAACTTTGTAGAAAGCAGGGTGTGGAAGGAGGGCCCATCCATTGGGGAAATATTCCAAAGGAGCAGGCGGCGCTCAGCTCCCAGCATTCAGCAGCTGCAGGACCACCACCACTGCATTTAAGAGACTTTCACATTTAGAAAATACAATCCCAGCCTTCTCTTAAGAACTTAGATAAAAATGACCCGATTTTTTTTTTATTTTTTAAAGGAAAAACAGCACCAAAAATATTCCCATCCCTCATTCCACCCCCTCCCATCCCGTGCTTCCCCTTCCCATCCTGCTGCTCCCACTGCTCCCCCCCAAATCTGAGCAAATACTGCCCCTGGTATTGTAAAGCTTTGAATGTTTTCACACCCCATTAATTTATTACTTCTCTTGCCTCATCTTTAAAATTTTTTTCCCCTCGTTTTTATTTTTTTTTCCTCCTTTCCTTTTTTTTTTCCCCTTTTTTTTTTTTTTTGTTAAATTCCGACTCCCCGCTGCTACAGCGATTTTCATCTTGTTGTTAATTTTCCCTGCTCCATATGGAGCTCCAGACATTTCACCTGGAGGCTGTACTAGATTTTGCTGTAGCGATCGCACTTCCGGAGGCCAAAACTGTCATTTAAGGTTCCCGGTGCATCTGTCTACGCCAGGCTTTTTTTTTTCTTTTTTTTTTTTTCCTCTTTTTTTTTTTTTTCTTTTCTTTTTTTTTTTTTTTTCCTGGCACCAGGAGAGTGTGAATAACAAATTGGATGCACCTGAGATTCGGATGATTAGTGTGTTTTGTGGAGCTGGGGCGACTTGTAAGCAGATCGCTGTAGGGATGGGGAGGGCTAAAGAGCCACCCCGGGTGAATCCCCCTTTTCCACACGGGGGGAAAAAAATAATAATAATAATAAATAAATAAAATAAAAAAAAAAATCGGGAGCATCCCGGCACCAAATATTTCATCCTGCCTTGTCATTGATTAGAAAAGAGCCTTTAATTTCATTTCACCCCATGTTGTGATTAATTTGCATTCTTTGTCAGAAGTTAATGGAGTTTTTTATGGTTTGCTCTGAAATCCTTGAAGACGTCGGAGTTGATCTGATGTTTATACAACCGCCAGCGGAATTTTTGCTGTTTGATTGATGGAGAGCTTGATGTTATTCCAAACGGCTTTTTAAGCTGTTTTTAAGAATTATTTGAATAAAATGCGAGCAAGATATTGTTATAACGGCAGAGATTATCTGTTAAAAATCTGTTTCAAATAAAGAACATGATAAGTAGGAAAAAGGAGATCAAAAAGACAGGAGGAGTGATGGACGCGGGAGATGATATTTGTTAAAATAGATCGGCCAGGGATTCAAATAACTTATTTCAAAATGCAGTGGGAGCAAGAGACCTTAATTTAAGGCTCTTTTTTATATACAGAGTTTATTTTTGCAGCAGGAGAAATAACAGGAATAAATTAGGGAAGAATTTAGTCGTAGTTGGATTTTCCCCTTGATTTTTTTTTTTTTCTCCCTCTCAGCTTTTTCCCCTTCCTTTTCCCAGCACTGTGAGCACAAACTGGGAGAGACAAGACTGTCAGAGCTGGTAGTCCAACAAAATGATGACATATCCCTGCTCTCAAGGAGGAGACATCCTTAAATCCCACAGCAAAGGAAGCAGAAGTGGATAATGGGGAATTTTACAGCCCAGGAAAGCGCTCGCTGTGGACCTGCCGTGGCTTTGCTTCCTGAGAAAACATCACAGGGAGGAAAAAAAAAAACAAACCCCACAAACCAGTGGAAGCAAACAGCTTTTTGCTCCTCCTGGTAGGGAAAGGTTTGTGCTTTTCCCAGACCCCGGGGTTTGAAAAGCCTGGGAGGGACAATGCAGAACCTTCGGGGCTGGATGCTCAGCTGGGTCCTGCTGCTCCGGGGCTGGGGACAA